TGGCGGCAACAGTGGGCTCAAGCATGGGGACAATTGTCAGGACAGCACAGGTCTGGGCAGTGTTTCATTCTGTTGGTCTTAGAGTGCCTGGGGGTCGGATCTGACTGCATTGTACTTAACAACAATCACAACAAAACTCTAGCCCCAATCTAAGAACAATGACTTCTTACGACAAGGCCTTGCTTGATGCTTGCCCTCATGAAAAGACCACTGAAGATACGGGTGCTATAGCAAAATGTGGCAAAGAAACTACCTGGCTGTCAAAAAGAATAATGTCTGGGACCTTGAAGGCTTATCTTAAAACAATCAGCTATCTAAATGATATATCAATTACCTCGACATGGCAGAAGCACAGCAGCCTGTGACCCAGGAATTGCAAATAATAAGATTCAAATCTGAAGCAGGGAATCGTTTCAAAGCTTAAACTGTGAGCATCTGTTTTGCAGACAGCTATGGACAACAATGGAAGACCAAAATCCATATGCCGGTTCCGCAGACGGGTTAAGCCTTTGGTGGCTCCCTTCTGATCTTTGTCTAGGGAGGTGTTATCAGACAGAGAACATTGTAAAGTCGATTATGGCAGATGTAGTTGGGTGAAAATGTAATATTTCATCATTTGACCTCCCCTTTGGCTCATTGTAAAGCTGTTTCAGTTTCAAAAAATTAAAGAGGGAATACATGTGGATTAAGTCTCTGGTGAAGTCTCTCTGACCTTTGGCCAAGGATGTGAACAGCTTTGCTATCATGCAGAGTGTCCTGGGAAGTGGATTACTGCAGATGCAGTTAGGTTAAAACCTAACACCATATCATTTGATCTCCCTTTTAACCCATTATAAATTGCTTCTAGTTTTTAATGTTTTCTGTTTTCTCTTCGAGTGAGGTTTTTCTCTGTTTTACTTTATTATTTTTGTCGCTGTGTTTTTGTATGTTTTCTGTATATGAAATCCAGGATAGATAAATCTATAGAGACAGTCACTGGATTAATAGTTTCTTGAAGGTATAACAGGGAGATTAGGAAGAAATGAGGATCTAATAACAATTAGTACAAGAAAAAAGATACTAATATAAAATGGATCAAAAGGGAGAATAAATAATGTGTTAAATTTTATAGTAACCACATTGGCATTAATTCACTTTTCAATGCACAGACCTTACAAATGGATATTTGGCTTTAATTACCATCCATAGCCTTCCATGTCAGAATTAAGCTCTAATATGGTTCCCTCTTCCAATCTTTGGATCACACAGGCTGACATGCTTCTTCCATGTAGACTTAGCTGACAATTTAGATGGCTGCTTGTTTTAATACAAACCTTTAAAACCCCAGATGCCAGTCTTTCTGATAGCCAGGCACCATCTGATTTTTTGCAACTCTTTGCTATAGAAGCTTGGGACGAATTCTTGAATAGTTAAAAGTGTTATATCTTAGCTCTCACCAATGCCATTTCTGTCCAATGTGCTTCTCTCAAATGTCACCAGTTACATATAATAATAACACAAGTTTCTGACCTATAGTGATGACAGTCTCCATTGTGATGTCATCCAGTATTTCATGAATGTTTTCTGGCTACAGTTTAAAGGCACTTCAGGTTTGTGGGGGTAAGCCTACTGCATTATCAAAATATGTGACCAAAAGATTACAGTATGACTTCATGTTACTTTATTTCTATATCACTGCCTTAAATAGCAATGAGTAAGCCTTCTAAATTATGCCGTAAGATTTCTTGTCCAAGAAGCAATATATTCTGCAATCTCATTGACAAAATTGTTAAAAGACCCTCCTTGCAGTTTCTGGGTCAGTGGGGATATCACTGTTATGAACCTAGGATTTACAGAACGCTGGCAAACATTCTGAGGTATGTCGACTTGGATGGGTTTGACATACTCCTCACAGATTATATTGCATTTGTGGAAAAGTCAGGATACCGTTTTGAACTAAATTTTAATCTGGAATTTACTGAAATATGTGTGAATACCATTCTGTACTGGGTTTTCGCCAGAAAAGGTAATCCTGAATTTGTTGAATTGCTTCTGAAGAAGACAAAGGACTATGTTCAAGACAGAAGTTGTAACCTGGCACTAATATGGAGGTAATCATTTCATTTTATGTTTTTCACCAAAAAAATTTTCTCTTTAGGAAATTA